CCGACGCTGCACCGATCCGCCTGTCAGTCTCACACTCCATCATCCCCTCACTCGTGAACAAGACCCCAAGATACTTGAACTCTTCCACTTGAGGCAGGGACTCTCCAACCACCCAGAGAGGTAAGGATGCCTTTTTCCAGTCGAGAACCATGGCCTCAAATTTGGAGAAGCTGATCCTCATCCCAGCCGCTTCACACTCGGCTGCAAACCACCCCAGTGCAGGTCCTTGGTTTGATGTATTTCAACAGGATAATAAAAAAAAACAAAAAAAAACATGTTTTTGGAGGAACATGGAGTATTACATGCGAATATTACAATGAAACTGCAAGAAAACAACCAAACCGGGTCATTTTTGACCCACTTATCCATCTAAGGGTTAATGTGAGTAAGTCTTATCGTTTTGTAACTAGCACCATTTGATTCCCTGACCCTGAAAATGTGGATTTAGCAGTTAAAATTAACATTTCAACTGATTCAGAGTGTGTGTGTTTGTGTGTGTGTGTGTGTGTGTGTGTGTATATATATATATATATATATATATATATATATATATATATATATATATATATATATATAAACTGAATGTAGCACAATATTTGATATTCTGCTTCTAAAATTGGGTTGAAATTATTTCAGGCTGTATTTATTTATTAAAAAGTTTGAAAATATGTCTACTAGCCTACAAAAGTGTTATATTACCCACAGATAAATACACATACATTCATAAAACAATATATAATAGTAACTAAAGTGTCTTAAAATATTTTTTTAACGAAGAGAAAGCATCTCTCACCTGCAGCTGCTGTATCTCGGGTTGAGTGACGACAGGCCTGTTCTGTGGTTTATATTGTGTTTAACTTAATCATTTTTTACAGGAAACTAGTCACATCTCCTTATAAAGAAGTCTTCTGCTTTCGACTTTAAAGCATGTCATTTAAATTAAATACAAATAGTTATAAGTAATATTATGTATTTAATTTATATTATTAGTAATTTATAAAAACTATCACATGTTCACAAATAAAACAATACTTTAGAATGATTATCAGATACTAATACTGTCATTTTTTTTTTTCAAAGCAACAGGAAGGGGACAGGGGAACAAGGTGGAAAAGGGGAACTTCTAAAAATGTACTTTCATGGAAGACTAAATTAAAATGACTCATCATGTGTGTGTGTGTGTGTATATATATATATATATATATATATATATATATATATATATATGTATGTGTGTGTGTGTGTGTGTGTGTGTGTGTTATATAAAAAAACACGGACTAGCAATGATAGAAAACTCAACAAGCATCACTGAAATTACTTGAAACTAAGAAAAGCAATAATATATAAAAATTTACTGAAAATTGTCCAACAAATATTTTGTTGCACAACCTTTTGAGGCAAACTCTGCAAACAAATGATATCTGTAACTGTCAATGAGACTTCTGCACTGGTCAACAGGTATTTTGAGCCATTTTTCATGAGCAAACTGCGTTAGATGTCTTCGGTTTGAAGGGTGCCTTCTCCAGACAGCATGTTTCAGCTCCTTTCACAGATGTTCAGTAGAACTGAGATCTGGGCTCACAGAAGAACACTCCAGAACAGTCCAGTGTTTTGTTCCGAGCCATTCTTGTGTGCTTTTTGCTGTGTGTTTTGGGTCATTATCCTGTTGGAAGACCCATGACCTATTATTAGTACAGTACAACAAGAATGAGATTGTAAAGATGGAAGTGGTATGTCTTGGATTCTTCATGATGAAGTAGGACAGGAATCTAAAGCGGATTTTTATTTATGTTTTGTATTTACAGCAATAAAAACTATTTTTGTATGACACAATTTTTCATGTTTCTCACAAATGATAAATTGGTGGATCTAAATCCATAGTGACTTTAGGAGCCACTTATATCTGTACTGGGGTTAGACTCATTTTGTTCAAATACATCAGGTACAGGGCCTTTATTGACAGGAAGATTTAAAGCAAGTTTTTAAATCAATATAAAAAAAAAAAAAAACTAAAAAAAAACAGAAAAAATATATATCTGTTATTATATTAGATTGAATTCTATAATGAAAATATATGATCAGTATTGGATAACTTTTCCATTATGCCAGCAGGGGGTGCTGTTTACATATCCATCCCATGGATTTATTAAATAAATTTCCCCAACATCATTCCCCTCTTCACACACACTATAGATCTGACTCTTTTACCACAATTCTCAAAAATTCTAGAAAAATAGTTTGATGCAAGACTGGAATCATTTATTCAAAAATACAATATAACAACAGATAATCAATATGGTTTTAGGAAAAGTCAATCCACATCACTGACAATTATTGACACAGTTGAAGAAATAACAAATTCTACTGACAATAATAATCATACTGCTGGAATATTTATAATTTGAAAAAATCTTTTGATACCATACACCACAGGATTTTAGCCATTAAACTTGAAAGATATGGTATTAAGAGGAGTAGCTAGTAATAATTTCGAGATCACTATGACTTGGACTAATATTTCTTGGAAAACAAAGGGTTAATATAATGGAATAGACACGGACCAATTCACAATTTTTTTTCCAATGGTATCTGGGTAAATGAGTGACTCCCCGTGGAGGCACTGAACTAAAGAAACACCTGCAGGGCCTTTGCCTTCCTGTAGCGAAGGCCAGTGCCTTCGCAAATACCCTGTGATAGCAAATATAAGCAAGTGATAAATGCTGTCTGTTCACTCTGTCCCGCCCTAACTCTCCACTGGCAGCATGTTACTGCTACAGGCTAATGAATGGATGACAACAGAGCTGTGTGCTATAGGAGTTCTGACAAGTTCAACTTCAAGTCAAAGTAATATGGGAGTAATATGTCTTCTCGTCAGCGGGACCCTTCTGCCAAGTAAGAAAAGAAGCATTAAGCTGAAATGACTGCATCTGGCTTCGGTGAAATCCTACAGCTCTTATTTTGATTCACACACTGGCTAATGGTGGCTAGCGACTTTAGCCTAAGGGCCTAGTTCCACTGCACAGGTATTTCGCTCTGTGCAAGCATAAAAACTGCAGTGTTTGTATGCGTAACTTTTAGAATGCATGGAAAGTGAATGAGGGCAGCTCCACTGTGTGCGCTAGACGCGCGTATGGAGATTTCAGAAAATAGGGTCCATCCTATTTTTGATGGTCTACACGAGCGTAGGCGCGTATGCCCATCTAAATACACAGAGAGCATGAATCTTTGGTTGTATTTGTGTGTTTACCATCAGCACAACTTGTTCCCTGGGCAGTTCTGTGTCGTGTGAAAGAGCCGAGGTCCAGAAAGACTGTTAAAATGTCCTTTAAAATTTACTTTTGAAAACCTTGCGTTTGCCCTGCTCACCCAGTGCAGAAGGTAAATACAAGTCTGTTCAGCTTGTTAATTTCACTGTGGACCTGATACAAGTGGCTAAACGCGCCCAGTCAAGTTTGATCGGCTTCACATTGACAAACACAGAGTCAGTGTCGTGCGTGTACGTCCTGCTGCAGCTGCCGGTGGAGTTGCCTTAGCGTTGACGTGCGGCTTTGGTTTCACGAGGTTACGCACGTAAACGCTGACATGTGCAGTAGAACCAGGCCCTAAGGGTTGGGGTGGATCAATCAGACCCAAAAGTTAATTTTCTCGCCTAGCAAGAAAATATATTTTTTGACCCGCCCCAAGAGAGCGGGAGGGAAAAAAAATGTCTTCAGGTCTGTGTGACCCCGAGGGGAGCGTGAGGGTTTTAAAGGCTCTCTCAAAAACCTTCCTATATACAGGGACTTCTCTTTGAGCTATTCGATTTGCCCAAACCTGCGCGCTACAAGTTGACCTACACATCACATCACACGTGTATATTTATTAGGGGTGTAACGATATCCAAGTCTCACGATACGATATCATCACAGTATGAACCTCACGGGACGATATTTATTGCGATATTATGGGAAAGCTCATGATATGGTGTGGAGGCTCATTATTACAGATGTAACAATATCGAAATCTCTCAGTAGAATATTTTCATGCTGTACATCTCACAGTACGGTATTTATTGAGATATTTTGTGGAGCCAACAAAACTGTGAATATACTACTTTTTTCCTCTTAAAATGCCTTGACAAAACTTAATCCAAAAAATTAAGACTTAAAAGTGCTTAGAACTGTTATTTCTTCTTGTAGTCTGCACTGAAATGGAGCAAAGGCTCATGGTCTATATAGTTCCCTCTGTCTTTTTTCCCTCTGTCCTATTTCTGCACCATAACTCTTAATTTAAGCAAAGAGACTTGTGATTCGATATATTGTGATGGTCCACGATATTATTGGGAGAACTTTGATGATACGATATCACGATATTTTAGTTATTGTTGCATCCCTAGTATTTACTTATATTAAAGATGTGATGTGAATGTTTTTGTCCTGTCATAAAGGTGCTCTCTCAAAAATACAAGAGCCTTCCTCCAGGAGTCCTCCTGAGCTCGAGCGTGGCCCACAGTCTGCCCGCCCCACAACCATGCCTGGAAGACAGGAAGAAAAAGAAAAGGAAAATCATATCTCGTCATGAGTTTAATCCCCCAGCCCTGATCTACACTTTGTGCACTTTTTACAGCTTCTCTTACACAGTTTTTTGGTTTTATGTGTTCTGAAGTTGCTGGCCCGTGTGAGTGGAGAGTACGGAGGCTCGATCAGATGACCAGCGTCGGGATATACGAGCAGAGTGAGCAGGTGAATGTTCCCAGCCTTCTCCATCATTCGCCTTTATCTAACACAAAACATCAACAACTTTAACTACCATAGGAATGAAATGTAAGCAACATGCAATCAAATGTCTACTAAAGTAAAGACTTCACAATTCCCAGCATTCAGACATTAAGTGAGACACACAAGGACAATATAGGGAGAATAGCTTGATAACTTTATTTTGATAAATATACTGAATATGAATTTAATTTTTATTAATTTAAAAATGAACACATCTAAATTTATGTTTCAATATTTTCCACCTTACAAACTGCAGTAGCTGCTATGATATCCCCAAATACAGTGAACTCACATCCATAGCACCTATAAAAGACGACCAACACTGATCATCCTGACCCACCACTAACAACAGGGGGCACTGCACACGTCCCATCTGCACATGAAGAAAAACATTTTTGTAGTAAAACAATACAAGACAAAACAATATAAATGTGGTTGCTGGTGAGATTGCCTTGAGTAAAACATACAAAGATCCCACATAAAAAGGGTTAGTAATGTTACTTCAGCATTTCTCCAGTGCTTTTCTGTTTAAATATCTATAAATCCCTTGTACTCACATCTACTTTGAATGCAGGGTCTTCAGGGATTGGCAGGAGCAGGTCATGCCATGTTAGTTCCTGTTTCTCACTGATGCGGGTTTTATCGATATTTCTGAATAAAATTTGATTTTGTTACATGATGAAACATTTTAGCCAAGCACAGTGCTATTCACCTTATTCCAGAAGTTTGTATGTGTCGCCATTATTATTCAGGTTGTATTATTTTGCGTGGGGCTGCCGATCTTAACAGAAAATAAGTTCAATAACGACTAAAAACCTGTTTTAAAGCCCCTAGACAATCGGTGAGAATCTTGTTGGTGCACATGAAAAGTGAACATTATACACAAATTAACTTTATGTCGTAATTAAGATGTAAAACGTTTCCCAAATTCTCCATTGAAATGAATGAAATTCCCATTTAACTGGAAGTGCCACCACATGAAAGCACAGTTTAGCAGCATTTAGAGACAAAATTGGGCGGGCCAGAATAAGGTGAATAGAATTAGGTACAAAGAGAAGTATATCACACACCTCGCAGAAAGAGCTGATGAAAAAATACAATGTCAGGGAAATGATATTACACTTAAATTAGATTTGACAGTGGATTTGTCATCCCAATGACTTAAGCAATGGCTAAAAGTAAAATGATGATAAAGCTGTTAGCAGCAACATAACTTACATACTAAAGTAGTTCAATAGTTCTTCAACGCTGCCGTTCACTGGCTGAACGTGACTTCCGTTGATACACACTGCACATCTAAGCTGAGAAACACAAAGAAACCACAATGACATTACAGTTTTAAAATTTTGCATTATTTCAAGTGAAATAAACATATTTTTAATTAAAATTATTTAAATATATGGAAAATCTATGTAGCACAAGTTCACTGTTACCTTCATGACCTTGGAGTAAGCGGCCATTTTTAAGGTCATAACTGTACCAAAAGACAGGCCCCACATGGCGATCCTGCTGCCCACAATCTGAGGATGTTGCTCCAGGAATTTATAGGCAGTCTAGAAAAGCAATAACAAGCTACATGTACTATCAAACATAATGGTCTCATGAACACCATGTAAATCATGATTAATTCATTGTTGGTTGGACTTTAGCCAACTTATGGGAAAATCTGTTCATCCATCTGTTTCAGAGTGATGAAAAAGGAATACTGTTCTTTCCTGTTCTTCCCTAATCTTACCTCTGTGCAGGCTCATCAGTCTCAAATGCAAAGCCTTCTCAATGCCTTGTGCAATTTGGGCATGGTAAGGCATCCAGGTATTACTCGCTGCCCAAGTCGTGTTCCAAATTTGGCTAATTTTACCAAGGATACAAAAGATTGTATCCTTCACTGCCATGCACCAAATTCCTCCATCCATCCATTTTCTTCCACCTCTGGGTTGCAGGGGCAGCAGTCTAAGCAGGTATTCCCAGACACATCCTCCAGCTCCTCCGGGGGGACCCCAAAGCGTTCCCAGGCCAGCCGAGAGACATAGTCCCTCCAGCATGTCTAAATTACTCTTTCATCTACAATTATGATTCTAAGTAGGAGCATGGACCCACAGTGCTTATGTTATATTTAAATAATTACAATAAGGCATATACATTCAGGTGGTAGTGGTGAAAGAAACAGAATATAGGTGAAAAGTGTAAAATATGCACAAGTGTCCTTTCCACTGGCAAACAACTAGAGCACAGTGTCTGTGTTTTGAATGGTAAAAAGTTCTCAAAATGTTGCAGATAACAGGAAGATCAAACCCTCAATAGTTTTATGTTGTACTATTTCAGTGTGTACTCACTGTAACACTATTGAAGTTTGATTAAACTTTGATTAGATGTGGCTTACATAATAACAACCTGTGCCTTAGAACAACCTGTTCTGTGATTTATTTGCGGACAAAAGGTCACTGAAACTTAAGTTTACTGCAGCCTTTTTTAATCTTAAACCAAAGTGATGTATTACCTAAAGATAAAAAGAGTGAGCTGCTCATCCACTATTGTGATGATGACACAGCAGCCTTTCAAGTTTCAAAGTTGACAAAATAAGACAAAATAAAAAAGATCTTCATTACCTCAAAGTAGTCATTCTTCATACTTTTTCCAGTTGTCATTGTGACTTTATTGGTCAGATAATCCAGGGCCAGAGCAGCAAACCCATGTGACGCCAGTAAAGACGCTCTATACTCCACTAGATTGCCACCTCCTCCCCAGAGGTCCAGGACAGCAGGAAACGGGCCAGGTCCTGCATAAAATCTTCTGTAAGCAACAAAGTCAACCCCTGGCACACACTGTGCAGAAGGAGAGCCCACCTGGAGGGAGGAAGAGTGTAGCAGTGAGGTCGTGCTCTGTAACTGGTATCCTCTGGACTCCAGGAGCCATGTACCAGCGCTCCACCAGCACAGCAGCCAGACAGCTCTGCTCCTTGAAGCCCTCTGACAGGTGGCCCTGGTACACTGACACTGTCACCTCCAGAGGGGTCTCCACATTGGTCTTCCTCAACCTGAGCCATTATTATATTGCATTAGTCACACTCATTAGATACACTTTGCATTACATCTCATACCCACTCTTACATCACATGTGCTGCTACACAAAAATACTGTAGAAAGAACAGTCACACATTATAATGTCTGACCTGAGTCCAGGTTTACTCCCTGGCACTGGTCTGAGGCTCCACAGTAATCCCATTGGTTCCACTCCTTCATATGTCCCACCCAGGCTGGGGTCCTCACACACTGTCAATGCAAAGGTGCACTATGTAACTTTTCAGATTTGAGGTCAGCCACCTGCTTGTCTCCATGGAGGTGTAACTGGTTTTACTGGAGAACTAAAATATCAGGTAAGTCTTGCATTTAGTCAATGACAGGTATACTGTTACTAATGGCAGAGTCACCTTTCTACAAATTTGACCTCTAACATGGTGTGCTTGCATAACTTGTCTTCATGAAAATATATGATATATATAATACATTTAATGGAACATTCCAGGCATTCTCCTTTGGAACTAGCAGGTGATGGGCCCTCCACCGGAAAAGACTGAAGTGAACAGGGGAGTATTAATACTTAGTGAGAGACTTACAGTTGAGTGTCCCGGTGCTGTCACACATGTAGTGTCCAAACGCCTCCCAGTTGTGTTTGTCTTCACTGAGGAGATGGGAGCGCACCGTCAGCTCAGTCCCAGGAGGAGCATTTTGGACCAGCACTTTAAACTTCTCATCCACAAGAGCTCGGGATGGGTGAACGGACAGCCGCACACCACTCGGTTTATTTGCCATTAATGCCAAAATGATCTGCAAAAAATACATATTATTCTCATAACAAGGATGTATATACCTGTGTATCTTACAATTATTGTGATGTGAAGGTAAACATTTTGTATTTATTTATTGACTTTTATTTAAAGATATCATACACAAATGTTTTGGGGTTTTTTTTTCTAACAGGCAAGATCCAATATATATGTCCCATTTATCAATTTGTGGTGATATGGCATTGAGCCAGAAATGGTCCCCATATAGATTCATAGTGTCCAATCAAACATGCACTGTTTGAATAACAGATCCCATTTTACAAAGCCAATCTTCAAAATTTGGGGGTGTGATGGACTTCCATGTCAACAAAATAGTTTTTTTAGCCACCACCATCCCAAGCTGCAGTGTCTGTAGAACATCCAAATAGAGCCAAGCTGTAATCAGGCTCAATGTCTCTAGAATAACTTAGAAATAGCACCAAAAAGCAATTAATTGTGGACACAACCAAGAAAGATAAGCAAGTGTTCCCTCAGCACAGGAACATTTGTCACACATGGGAAACATTTTATGCAATGTTTTAGAATAGTCCACGTTTTGTACCACCTTGAACTGGACAACCAATAACTACTATTAATGGAGCAAAAATGAATTTGCACCAAAGCTTTCTCCCATAGTTCAACTAATATATCCAAATTTAAATCTTTAACCCATGCTTCCCACAAATGAGACAGAGGTAGTGAAACAGTTCAGATTGAGATCAGATGTTTAGAATCAGGGGAGCGCTGCAGTTTGTCATTACATTTGTGAGAAGGTTGAATAAATACATGTTTGTATGTCTGTTTGATGAAATGCTGAATTTGAAGGTAGCAAAATTGCAATATTTTATTTATCATGGAGTTGGGCAAATGAGGCAGACTGACCATCAATATATAAATTAGTTTGAGCTTCAGTAAAATTTCTCTTCCAAGTCACAAAAGTTGCATCTAATTGCCCAGGTCTAAACAGAGGATTTTGGCAGATTGGAGTAGATATAGAATCTTTAGGTTACCATGTGCAAGTTGATTTTTTTTTTTTTATCAGTAAATGTGAAACCTGTTTCCCTAGCGCCTCACCACATCTTAGTACAGACTCACCTGTTCTCTCTGGTCTTCTTCTGTCAGATCTGGCACACTGTCTGACAATGGCAATAACGTATCACAACATCATCTCATGGAGAAACAAAGGCTTAAAATATCACTGACTATGCAATCACAGGATTCAAATGTTGCAGCCTTCATACTACAGTGAAAATGCAGATTTACAGCCCACTCTCTGCTAATCCAGTGGTGTGGGTGGGAAGGGCCGTTACCTTGATAAGCGAGTCCACTTCTTCAGTCAGTGGTTAACTGGGTAGAGCATAACATTTTTTAAATTGATTGATTACATTTATTTAGAACTGAAAATCTAATTTTATGTGATTTATTCATGTAAATTTGGAGTGTTAACCTAAGATATGTTAGTTTGTCATTTTATTAATACTTTTTTTCTTTTCAGCTTGTGAATGTGGAGAGACTCTGCTCTGCTCAGAGACTGTATCTACCAGTTTCCAAATTATCAGACACTGTAAAGCTACTGAAATAAAGACATAAAGACACTGAAAGCCACAATGGGCAGTACCAAGCAGTAATGAATTCTTTGTTCATATTAGCACCCATCAAGAGTTTTCAAAAATAAAGTGTGTATACAAAAAATGTTCTTTCGAAATGAATACACTCTACTTTCTGCACTCATAACACTAAAAAGGATTCTCACTGCACGTTTAGAGACTTCAAAGATGAAGTAGTGAACACAACTGCTGATGAAGGGTCTTCTAACTGTGACTTGGGTTCTTTAAGCGAAGCTGGTATAGTTGGTGAAGGTTTAGAAGAGATGGTGGTTAAAAAGCTTGCCTCAGTCTTATTAAAGTTGGAGGTCTTTTCACATGTAACATCAACAATAGACAGTTTACTGGGGGACCTACATTTCCTGTTTACTTCCACTGCCTTACCTCTGTCTGTTAGGAATTACTGGTCAGACCCAAATATGCAGAAACAAAAGGGTATTTATTAACAAAATAGTCTCAGAAGGGGGATAGGTTCCAGGGGAGGGTCCAGGTTGGGTGCAAATGCGAGGTATGTGGTGATGGAGACTGACCAGAGGCTTGCGGAACAGGTGGCAATGGGACGAGGCTGGCTCCAAACGGAAGAACTGGGGATCGGACAAAAGAAACTGGTAAGAATCAAAAAATCTTCAGAACGCTTGAAGAACACACTGGAATGACAGAACAATCTAGCACTGGAGAGCAAGTCAGCAGGTCTTTTATGGCAGGCGATGATTGCTTGATGAGGAACAGGGGCCTCATTTATAAAGCTTGCTTACGCAAAAATCCGTGCGTGCGCGCTTCCTACGCCAACCGCGGTATTTATAAAACTCGCCTAAGGCGTGGCTCTTTGCTTAACTCTACGCCAACTCGGGACCTCCTGTAAGTTCTACGCAAAGTCTGGAGAGACGGGGAAAAAGCGACACTCGTGGAGAGAGGCAGAAGTGAACAGAGTTTGAGGAAATGTTTGATCAGAAAATCCACGTATATAGATGAATTACCTTGTGATTTGCGCATTTAAGTGTTTGGTTCGCCAAAATACGGAGAAGGGCTGTTTATTCCACTCATTATTCTCCACAATATTATACATTTGACACTCGTGCACGAGCGCGGCCACGTTCCCGGACTCGGTGTAGCGCAGAGTCTCCCACAGTCCACACCGCGACCATAGACTTCTATAGAACACAGACTGACCAACACAGAGGACGAAATAATGACCCAACCTGAGAGTAAAACTCTTCCCTTGGACGCAGCAGGAGCCAGACTTTGATTTAATAAACGCAACTTTAACACTTTTACTTTAGTCTTTACGCACCGAGCGGCAGAGTGACCCGAGTCAGCGGACAACGAAGCCCACTGCCCGAACCTGACCCCAACCAAAATCTTCCCTACATTTTTGTGTAATGGGGAACTCTTGTACATGGGAGCTGCTCTCTGACTGTATGAAGAACAGAATAATGCCCGTGCCCGTCCCGACCCAGACCCACACTCACAGACCCAGACCCACACTCACAGGTTCAGCAGTTTGGATGTTCGTGTGGACTTTAATTGGCAGAATAACATCTGTATCTGTGTCCTCGTATCCTCGTGTCCCTTCCTCGCTCCTTTCCCTCTCCAGGGGAGGGCATCTGAGTCTCTCGCACGCGCTCATAATTTGACCATTCAGATCAGCGCGTGCACGTATCTACGTGTATATGCATAAATACAGGGCCAGTCCTCACACACTTCATAGACAGACTTAAAAATATAGCGATAAAACTCTTGAAACAGCGAAAAAACACACGGGCTTTACTGCAAAGATGTGCTGCCTAAATATTATGAAATATGATTAAATAAACAGATGAGTCATTGTTGTCACTTTTAGTTTTGTATTTATTTATTAAACAAGGTTTAATAAAGTCTTTAATAAAGTCTTTGTCGAGGTCACGTGCTGCTGCGTGGAGCGTCCTCCTCCCTCTGTCCCGCGTGTCTCGGTCAAACCCACTGATTATCGGCTCATGTTTAGGGAAATCTCATTCACGAGTCACTTTACATGCTCCTTTTATGGTGAGGTGGAGGTGTGGACAGGGCGTGACGTGACGTAGGTTTACGTGCGCAAATTCTAGTTGCAGGTGGGATTTATAAAGCAAAGATTGCGTGGTTTGGTGCGTGCGGTGGGTTTTCTAAATATGGAGTTTGCGTGGCGCACGCCTTGTCGTAGCTACTAGGCGTACGCACTAACTTACGACAACTCCTGCGCAGTTTTTATAAATGAGGCCCCAGGAGTGGAGCTCAGCAGGTGTGTAACTGGAGACCCGCTCAGGAAATGCCAAATAAGGTGAGGAGAGAAGGGAAGAGGGAGCATAGTTGAATTTTGGATGTTTTGAACAAACATGGCATTCAGACAAATGTATCCCTTTTCAATGTTATGTTTAGCTTTATACTCTGAAAATCCTCTAGTTAAATCTATTGGAAAAGAAGGGGCACTTGCCCCTATATAGATCATTTCAATGTTGTGAAACCGGAGGATTTCAGGACATTTTAGACTTAAAAAACAATAAAACATTTCAGTACATTCCACTTCTTAACTCTCCAGCAACTACTTGCATGAAAAGACATAGTAAACTTGTGGATAACCATAAAAAGCCAAATTCACAATTACATGCATTACATGTTCATTTACATGAACATCACAAAAACAATCTTTTTTTTTTTTTTTTTTTTTTTTTTTTTTTTAATTGGACATCTAAAAATGTCTTTATATTAACGATTAAAACACATTATGGGGTTTATTGGCGGGGCCCGGCCGAGCTCAGCCCGAAAGGATGACGTGGGTCCACCCTCCTGTGGGCTCACCACTCACAAAGGGGTTCATAGGGATCGGGTGCATAGAGGACTCGGTGGCGGTCTGGGACAGGTGTCTCAATGGCCTGGTCCACACACACAGCATCTGACTGTGGCGATGTGGAACATCACCTCACTGCGGGGGAAGGAGCCTGAGCTTGTGCGGGAGGTTGAGAGGTACCGGCTAGATATATTCGGGCTCACTTCTACTGGTACCCAGCTCCTCGAGGGGGGTTGGACCCTCCATTTCTCTGGCGTTGCCCACAGGGAGCTGGTGTGGACTTGCTTATAGACCCACAGCTCAGCCGCCATGTGTTGGAGTTCACCCCAGTGAAACGAGAGGGTCACGTCCCTGCGCCTTCGGGTCAGGGACAGGTCTGTCACTGTGGTGTCGGCTTAAGGGCCGAACAGCAGTGCAGAGTACCTGGCCTTCTTGGAGTCCCTGGGAGGGGTACTGGACAGTGCACCGACTGGGGACTTCGTTGTTCTACTGGGGGATTTCAGCGCCCACGTGGGCAGCAACAATGACAACTAGAGAGGGGTGATCGGGAGGAGGGCTGTCATAGAGCTCCAATTCACACTTCTGGGAGGGCTACTCACATATTCCGTGGGAGGCTGGTGACATGGAATCCAAATGGGCTATGTTCTCAGCCTCTATTGTTGATGCGGCCGCTCATAGCTGTGGGCGTGAGGTCTCTGGTGCCTGTCATCGCGGCAATCCCCAAACCCAGTGAAGGGCACCGGAAGTAAGGGATGCTGTCAGGCTGAAGAAGGAGTCCTGTCGGGCCTTGTTGATTTGTGGGACTCCTGAGGCAGCTGACAGGTACCGGTGGGACAAGCGCGCTGCAGCTCGTGTGGTTGCTGAGACAAAAACTCAGAGCTGGGAGGAGTTCGGGGAGGCCACGGACGAGGACTATTGGTTAGCCTCAAAGAAATTCTGGCAAACTGTCCGACGCCTCAGGAGGGGGAAGCAGTGCTTCACCAACACAGGGGGAGAGCTGCTGACCTCAACTGAAGATATTGATGGACGGTGGAAGGAATACTTTGAGGATCTCCTCAATCTCACTGTCACTTCTTCCGAGGAGGAAGCAGGGTTGGGGACTCGGAGGTGGACTCGTCCATCACCTTGGCTGAAGTCACTGATCTGGTTGGCAAGCTCCTTGGTGGCAAGGCTCCGGGGGTGGATGAGATCCATCCTGAGTATCTTAAGTCTCTGGATGTTGTGGGGCTGTCTTGGTTGACACGTCTCTGCAACACTGCATGGAGGTCGGGGACAGTACCTCTGGACTGGCAGACTGAGGTGGTGGTCCCTGTCTATAAGAAGGGGGACTGGAGGGTGTGTTCCTACAGGAGTTCCTACTCCTCCTCAGCCTCCCCGGTAAGGTCTATGCCAGGCTACTGGAGAGGAGAATCCTGCCGATAGTTGAACCTTGGATCCAGGAGGAGCGGTGTTGTTTTTGTCCTGGTTGTGGAACACTGGACCAGCTCTACACTCCCCATCAGGTGCTCGAAGGTTCATGGGAGTTTGCCCAACCAGTCCACATGTGCTTTGTGGATTTGGAGAAGGAATTTGACCGTGTCCCTCTTGGTGTCCTGTGGGGGGTGCTCTGGGAGTATGGGGTCCGGGGCCGTTAGCTAAGGGCTGTCCGATCCCTGTATGACCGGAGCAGGAGCTGTGTTCGCATTGCCAGCAATAAGTCAGACCTGTTCCCGGTGCATGTTGGACTCCGCCAGGGCTGCCCTTTGTCACCAGTTCTGTTCATTGTGTTTATGGACAGAATTTCTAGGTGCAGTCAGGGGCCAGAGGGGGTCTGGTTTGGGGA